TGATGAAAACTCGATTTTTGTAAAACGGGGTGAAAACAATAACTTCCCGATTTTTGAAAATCTGAGATTTTTAGCGGGAAGTTAAAAATCTTACCATTTGACATGAACATGTTTGCAAGCGATGAATCGAACACCGTTGATGATGATTATTAGGCTGTGCAGGTAAACTGTAAGGCGATGCAGCGGTCCGCATTGAGTTACTTCTCGAGTATTGTTGCGCCTCAAAATAAGACGGTGGTGGTTGTTGTTGTTGTTGTTGTTGTTGTTGTTGTTGTTGCTGCTGCTGCTGTTGTTGCTGCTGCTGGCTCCCAGGCGAGGGTTGGTACATTTGATAGGACTCTAACTTCATGGCTTCCGCTAGATTACCAGCTAATTGCTCGGGACTGTAAGAAGACACGTAGCTAGGTGTCCAATCAGGTTCACCAAGAACCGCCGGAATGGGACTCAATCGTCCTACTGACGACGCATTGCTCGACGCTCTAGGACTATCAATAATAATTTATAAAAAATTATTATATAAATAAAAAAATTGTAAAATAAAAATAATGTACCGAAAATCGGGAGAAAGCTGGAAACTGCTGGTGTGAAGAGGACTCTCGGGAAATAAATCAAGACCTTCGCTTACACTGCTACTCGGGCTAGATGTCGCTGCGTCGGTTTGCAATCCGTTCCGAAGTGCTTCTACCTTTTTCTTTACTCGACCTCGACGTTTTTCAAACTTGCTCGTTTCCATTGACGTTGCTCTGTTGGAATTTGTAATTTGTAATTCATAAATCATTGTTCAATGTTAATTATTCATTTTAATATCAGCATGCATAATTGGAAAGTAAAAATAGGATGTATACTCGATAGGAAATTTTTCATTAATAATTATAATAATTTTTAATGTCCGTGTGAATAACATATCAAAATTTCAGACAAATCCGATGGATAGATCCGAAGATATTGAGGAAATATTATTACATTGATTTTGAGTGGCAATGTAGCCTTAAAATGTAATTTTACATATAAGACACTTTAAATATTAATTATAAATTTTTTAGTAGTGATAAATATTGCGGGTAATTGAAATATTGACTGAAAATTATTTTACATTGATTCTGAGTGTCAATGTAACGTTAAAAAAATTTTTATATATTAAAAAAAGACACTCTATACATGAGTTATGAATGTATATCAGCGATAAATTGAAATATTAAATGAAAAGCGATATTACGTTGATTTTTAGTGCCAATGTAATCTAAAAAAAATTTATTTGAAAAAAAAAAAGGCTAAAATATGGATTCTAATTCTATTTAAATAATAAATATTAAATAATATTGAAATATTGAATAAAAAAGTAATTTTACATTGATTTTGAATGTCAATGTAACATAAAACATATATTATATAGGAAAGACACTCTAAATATGAGATATGAATTGATATTAATGATAAATATCACGATAAAATGGGAATATTTACTAAAATATTTTTTTACATTGATTTGGAGTGTCAATGCAGTCTAAAAATTTATTTTATAGATACAAAACAATTTAACCTGAATATTTAAAGGAACTTAATATTAAAAATTGATATGAATGATTGAAAAATTGAATATTAATAATTTTACATTGATTCTGAGCGTCAATGTAGTCTAAAAAAATTTATATAGAGCAGACACTCTAAATATGAATTATGAATTTTATATTAATAATAAATAATATTAAAAATTTCAATATTGATTAAAAAAAAAATTATTTTACATTGATTTAGAGCGTCAATGTAGTCTAAAAAAATTTTTTAAATTTTTTATAGAAAAGACACTTTCAATATAACTATTGAATTGTATATTTATAATAACTAATATAAAAAATTTTAATATTGACTAAAAAAATTATTTTACATTGATTGTAAGCATCAATGCACTTCCAAAACATAATCAACTGCCCACTATACATCATACCTTCTACGCGCCGACTTTCCAGGCTTGGCGTCCGGGTTTATCATCCACCAGGAAGATTTTCCAGTTCCTTCGTTCTGCACCCGCATGAATCTATTGTGTAGCGACAAATTGTGCCTGATTGAATTCTGTAATAAAATTACAATTAAATTTTTACAAAAAAAAATCATTAATAAATTTTAAATAAAAATAATTTTTAATAAAACATTACAAAAATTATTAATAAAAAATTCTAACATTAAATAAAAATCGATCTGTAAAAAAAAAATTACACACTAATGACATCGCTTATATAGAGTCAATAAATAATTAATGACTGACGAGTCATAGTGTCACGGAATAAAAGAAAAAAAAACAAAACTATATTATCTTGTACAATTATTAAAATTTATTGCCACAAATTGATCAATACTCTAACCGTAGAATAAAACTTTAATAAAACTTCTATTAGATCGTCAAGTTATGGTAATTCAATAATAAATCTGGCTTATAAATTTATAATATCTAATTTATGTAAAAAAAAAAAAAAAAATGACCATGAAAGAACAATTGGCATAAAAAATTACACATTATAGCTCGGGTTTGGCTGAGTTCGCAAGCAATTGATCTCAATTAGACTTTCTTTCTCTTTATCTTTTTTATCTTCTACGCATTAGCGAAAAAAAAAAAAAAAAAAATTCTTGTTACTGTTAAATCCTAAAAAATTATAAAACTCAGTCTAAATAATCATTTAATTCTCTTTCGTCACTTACTAGCCTCAACCGATCTGACCTATCGTGCATTTATTAATTATTTTTTTTTTTATTAACTCCAAACAGTGCGTCATAACTAACGAATATTTGATAAAAGCTGAGAATTTTGTTCAAATAGACATTTCGTAAGCCAGATACTTTTCACACGTAAATTATTAGTTATTTTAAAGCCTATCTTCTGTGTGAATCTTTTTTCTTTCTTTCTTTTTTTTTACATATTAATAGGATATTTAAATCGTAAGGTATTTATAAACTTATCTTTCGACTATTTAAAACTTGGGATTATTTTTAAACGGGACTTAATATTGTCGAGCGATTTTTTATCTGTTGGGATTTTTAATTTAATTATTAATCGGGTTTTTTTTACTGCATTGACACTCAATATCAATGCTGTTAATAATTAAAATTATTTTTAAATAATATCAAATTAAACTTTAAATTAAAAGTGCATTTAGGAGGCAGATTAGATTTTTTTAATGCGTTGACACTTAAAGTCAATGTATTGATACAAAAATCAATACATTGACATTCAAAATCAATGTGGTTAATTAGTTTGAAGAAAAATTGTCATTAAATCAAGTTAAAATTTAAATTAAAAATGTATTTATGATAATAATTTTTTAACTGCATTGACACTCAAAGTCAATACATTGACTCTCAAAATCAATGCTGTTAATAAATAAGATTATTTGTTGGTAACTCAAAGTTGAATTTTGAATTAAAAGGGCATTTATATAATAAATTACACTTTAATATTACATTGACAGTCAAATTCAATGCGTTGACACTCAAAATCAATGCTGTCAATAAATAAAATTATTTGACAATGATATAAAGTTGAAATTTTAAATAAAAAGGCATGTATATGATAAATAATATTTTTTACTGCATTGGCACTCAAAGTCAATACATTGACTCTCAAAACCAATGCTGCTAATACTTAAATAAGATTATTTGTCGGTGACTTGAAATTGAAATTTGAATTAAAAGGGGATTTATATTATAAATAATAATTTTTAATACATTGACACTCAAAATCAATGTTGTTAATTATTTTGAAGAATAATTGTCGATAATATCAAGTTTAAATTTGAATTAAATGTGTAATTATGTAAATAATAATTTTTTTACTACATTGACACTCAAAATCAATGTTGTTAATTAGATTAAAGGGAAGTTGACAATAATATCGGAATAACAAGTCCATAAAAAGAGTATTTATACAAAAAATAATATTGTTATACTGCATTGACACTAAAGTCAATACATTGACACTTAAAATCAATGTTTTTAATAATTAATAGTAATGGTTGGTAATATCAAATCAAAATTCGAATTAGAACGTCATTTATGTGATAAATAACAATTTTTTTTGCATTGACACTCAGAATCAATGCACTTATTTTTCCTCAATATCTTCGGATCTACTGGTCCAATTTTTCTGAAATTTTGATATGTCTTCACGAACCATTCAAGGATGGTTTTTCCAGAATTTTCTTTTTATAAAGACCATGAAATTGTTTTTTTTTTTTAAACTTCGCTTATCTTCAACAAAAATTACCATAACAGTTACATTGAAAATTTTTTAAAAGTTTGTATAAGAAGTACATATATATTATAACAGCTGAAGTTAAACAGCTATAAAAAATATTAAAAAATCTGTACTAATAAAAATACCATTTGATTATTATATGTTATATGTGTTTAAATAAATTCACTCATATTGACAACTGATGAATTTATTCATTATTTTTTTAATTTTAATTCTATTTTTAGACATTATTATCAATATTATCAATATCATCTTCTTTTTAAATTCTATAAAATTACCCTCTGAGATGATAAAAAGCTATCAATACTATACAATAATAAATATATATATACAAAAACAAAATATTATTAGGCAATAGTAGTTATAATTAAAATAATAACAAAAACAACTAAAATAATCATAATATTAATTATAATTTTTGGAGTTTTATCATTATTATTATTAAAATTTCTAAATCAAAATTTTTACTGCTTTTAATAATAATAATAATAATAATAATAATAATAATAATTTTTTGGAGTTTTATCATTATTATTTATTATTATTATTATTAGTATTATTAAAATTTTTATAATAAAATTTTTATTTTTTTAATAATAATAATTTTTGGAGTTTTGTCATTATTTTTGTTATTAAAATTTTTAAAATAAAATCTCTAATTTTTTTAATAATGCCAATAATAATAATAACAATAACAATATAAAAAATAAATTAATAAAGAAATGATACGGCACTGATTTAGAATGCGTACCCAAATAAAAAATAAAATATTAACCTAAACTGAACCAGTGTACGTTTAATGCTTTAATATCTTAATGTGTGTTTACTAACACACATATGATAAACGTACGATGGACATCTCAGCAGCGGCAGCAGCAGCAGCGGCAGCAGCAGCAGCAGCAACAGTAACAGCAGTAAGAGCAGTAACAACACCAGCGGTATCAGTAACAGCAGCCAAACTACGCGAACTACGCGGAGAAGGCTTGAGCTGACGTCAGGTCCAACCTTGAGTAGAGACCTCGGAGTAACGACGCGTCTACTGCGTGCAATGCGTTCTTCAATCTTTTACTCCGTACATATATTACATATATATGTATGTAATATATATAATATCATATGTAACGGTGATAATAATTACACACTAATTATTTTCATTTTTTTATCAGTAAATTAGATCCGTAATTATAATACTGGATTTTTTTTAACGTGAAAAAAAAATTTTTTTTCACTTCATAAAGTTCTTTTTTTTTTCTTTAAATTTTTTAATAATAATTCAATTAGAAAAAAAAAATTTTTTTTCAAATAATAATTAATATTAATTCCAGTGTCATCAATAATTATCTATTTCTTCCTTAAAAAAAAATTTAAAAAATATCTTCCGTGTTAAATAATAATAATAATAATAATAATAATAATAATAATAACAAAAATAATGAAAAAACTTCAAAAATTATTATTATTATTATTTAAAAAAGTAGAAATTTTATTATAAAAATTTTAATAATAATAATAATAAATAAAAAATGATATAAAAAAATATCTATTAATAGATAGTAGCTCTTTTGACTATTAAATTTTTTGAGTATAGTAGTAGTAAATATTGCTCTACAATGTCTTGAGATAGTGGTTGGACTTTGAATTCATAGTTAAAACGCTTCAAAGTTCACATTGTATAATACGATACTGGCATTACTGGTGATACTGCTAATACTTAAACTACTGCCGCTGCTTCAGTAATAAAAAAAACAATTTATTAAAATTTCTCTTCAATATCACTAAAAATTATTTATCCATAAGACTATTTAAAAAAAAAAAACATTATCTTCAATGAGTTTTTACTTCACATACCAAAGATAAAGCCTTGACAGTCAGTTGAGATTATACGCGACAAGTGGTTTTGCGCGTTAATTTTTTATCAACTGCGTATTTTCATTTTTTAACCCTTATAAATAATACTAAAGAGGGTTTAAATTCTTTATTAAATTCGTTTTTTTCTTTAAAGAGTTTTGTTTAGAAAGTGTCGGAAAAAATTTTATAGATTAGGGGACATCCATTAATTACGTGAGCTATTTTTCGATCAGTTTAGACTCCTCCCCCCCTTAGGTGAGATTTAGTGAGATTTGTCTGGACCCTCCCCCCCTCCCCCCTCCCCTTACGTGAAATTGACGCTAAAAATATTTTAAATTAAAATTATTTTTATTATTCGGGAGAATAATAAACCATTCAAGTATACTATAGTTAATTTATTTAAATTAAATAAAATTCAAAGCAAAGAAAAACATAAAAACAACACTTTTTTTTAATTTTTACTCAATCCATGGAGACTCATGTACTTTTTTTATACATACATATTATAATTTATATTACAATTATAATGTTAAAGAAATCCACCATTAGCTCTGAGAAGAGCTTGTTTAAATCATCAGCGTAAATGATTTTAATAGACATAAAATTTATTTTAGCGGGCAAAATAAACACTCAAAATAATTTTTTTTTTAATGCCTGTAATATTTTATATTTTTTGAAGCTGAGGTGAGATTTTTGATTATCCCCCCCTCGGCTTAGATGAGATTTGGTGAGATTTCATTGGACCCCTCCCCCCTCATTCTGAGCTCACGTAATTAATGGATGTCCCCTTATGTTATTGCATAATAATAATAATGATAATAATAGTAATAATAATAATGATAATAATAGTAATAATAATAATGATAATAATAGTAATAATAATAATAATAATAATAATAATAATAATAATAATAATAATAATAATAATAATAATAATAATAATGAATTGGTAAATAAGTACAAGTATGAAAGCTCGAAGGACGTGACAAGAGTTGTCACAGTGATAACCCCACGATTATGCCGTTCTACCGGTTATCGTTTCAAATTTTTAAACATACTCTTACTATACTCTAATAATAATAATAATAATAATAATAATAACAATAATAATAATTGATTAGGATGTGGATTAGTTAAATTTATTTTTGAGATTAATTGTTGGTAATTTCCATGGAAATTTTTGTAAGTTAAAGAATTCAAATTATTATTATTATTATTATTATTATTATTATTATTATTATTATTATTACAATAATAAAGATCAGTGTAAGAAAAAATTATTGCATTGATTTTGAGTGTTAATGCAATCTCAAAATGGTATTTAGTCCATAAACACATTCTCAATTAAAATTTTAACTAAATAACACTCCAAAAATTAATATTTATTTAAAATTACCCAGAATTTAAATTATTAAGCGCTTATTATAATTTTACATTAATTTTGAGTGTCAATGCAGTCTAAAAAATATTTAATTTTTTAAACAGTTTAAAATAATTTTTTCCAACACTTTAATACATTATTAATTTTTTTTTTACATTAAAAAAAAAAAATTCTTTTACAACAAATTTTTTTTCGGAGAAAAAAAATTATAATTATCAACAAAAATAGAGAAGAAACAAGAAATATGTTAAGTACAAGATATTGTGATGATCAACAGCCTTGACCAATGTACTGAGGATCAGTGCGCAGAACCACTTAACTCTTTCATTGTTGATATACTTAACAATCTTAGCTATCTCATTGTTAAAAAAAAATTTTTTAAATAATTAGAATAAAAAAAAAATAAATATTGAAATTTATAATTTGGAATAAAAATTCAATATTGATTCTATTTAGAACGGGCAATAGAATATAAAATGAAAGATTGCATAGATGTGATGTGGATAAATATTGTATGCAAATTCTGTTCTGTATACGCAGTAGATACGTAAGTCGTCACATGTGTCAGATCAAGAAAACAGAGCCATTGACATGAGACTTATGAGAGAAGACCAAGATACATTCTTGTCTTTTATTTTATTAACCGTGCCAAAATACTATTTTTCCTTTCAATTTTTATGCTTGTACATTCCAATGATATTACTTTTAATAAAAAAAAAAATGAAAATTAAAGTAGCAGATATTTAATAAATTTTAGAATTTTTTTAAAAAATAAATTATAAAAAAAAATTGACTAGAAATTTTAAAAAACTAAAAATGCAATTTTTTAGAAGAAATTTTTTTGTTAAATAAAATTAAAAAATTGTCAAGTGACTGCTAAACTTTATAACAATTAAAAAAAATTTTTGTTGATAAAATAATTATTTATTTATCTGCTGTAATTAACTTTTATGCTCTAACTATTTATAAAAATTATATCTAATGACAAAAAATGATTTTTTATCTACAATTTGATGTCTTTCATTGATAGTTAGTTCATTAATTAATTAATTTAATTGAATAGGTGACTTATATATTTTTATAGATCGTTAGTGAGATTTAATTAAGTAATGAAAATTTGTTTTAATAAAAATATAATTTTTTTAATGAAATTGGTTTATTTTTTTTTTTTTAGAAAAAAAAAAATTTTTTTTTCTTGGATTTTTTGGTCTTTATTTGAGATTTTTATTTTCAGTCGGTAAATAATTGTGAATTTTTTATTTAAAAAATTATCTTCAGTTGGTAGAGAAGATTATTTTTATTAAAAAAAAATTTGGAGAATTTTAATTAACATTTTAATTTAAAAAAAAATTTAGAGTTTTGAATAAAATTCAATTTTATAAATAAAAAAAAAATTGCTTTAAAAAAAGAAATCAATTTTTAAATTCTATTAATTAATTCTCCCCTCCTTACTCAAATAAAATAAAAACCTAATAGCCGTTCATTAAACTTCTAATTACAAAAGAACAATATAAAATAATCAATTAAAAAAAAAAAAAAACTAAATTCTTCAATCAAATTAGTGTCTACAATTAATATTTATAATTATAATTACCAGCTAATATGAAAGACCCTCTTAATTTTTGTAAAAAAATTATTTTTTATAATTTTTTAACAGAATTTTTCAATAATAATCTATACTATCAAAAAAATTAGAACATTCCTAGATACATACATAAGAAATGACTTTGCATTTCAAGAACTATTGACATTTTTAAGGATATAAGCTAATCTTTACATTATACTAATCAAGACCTTTCATTTGAATACCCACATCAATTTTTCATATATTTTATATATTTATATATACCATATATATGTATATATGAAAAATATATCAAAAATGCATGTGGGTACTCAAATGAAAGCTCTTGACGAGTGTAACATCAAGATGAGCTTATATCTTAAAAATATATATTATATATATGTATATATCACAAATATACCAAAAAAGCATGTGGGTACTCAAACGAAAGCCCTTGGAGAGCATAACATCAGGATGAGCTTAAATCTTTAAAAACTTAAATATTTACTAATTTAAATAAAAACTCACCTTCCAGCCAGCACTGCTATTACTATCCCCCTTGTCTTTAAAATAAGGAACATTCTGCACCATCCATTCATAGATCTGCGACAAGGTGAGCCGTTTTTCCGTAGCACTAGTAATAGCCTGAGTAATCAAATCCGCGTAGCTCAAATTTCCCCAAGCATTTCTCCTGGAAGAATTTTTCTTCAGCGGAATAAGAGCATTTCCTAGCGCAACTTGCTGAAGAAGAGCATTAGCATTGGGATCATCCTTCCCGTTGCTATCACTAGCGTCAACATAGCCTTCAGGCCTCGGCAGAGGCCACGTGTTTGATCTCGCACGTATTTGCGGCTCGAATCCGCTCTCCAATTCAAATGACAATCCTTGAGTCGCAGTTTGTCTAGCAGGAGACGGTGCCGACAGTGAAGAGTCCATTATTTCCGTGTCCATGATTTTATTTTCTACAATTTAATAATTATTATTAATTATTAAATAATAATATTTATTAAAAGCTTCAACAATGATGATAAAATAATTAATTGCGTTGTATAAATTGTTGAGCTGGTGGTACAGAGTTAGAGAGAGCAGTAGGGGGAATAAAGGGGATGAGCACGTGGTCTAACAGTGTTTACCAAGCCAAGTTAAGTCACGTGGCTGTTATTCTTTACGATCATTTCTTATCATCACTTTTATAATAAATATTATTTTTAATTAATTACTTTTTGAAAGATTCCATCCAATGGAATTTTTGTAAAAATTTTTTATTATTCAAAAAAAAAATTATAAATAATAATTTATTAATTTATTAATCTGATAAAAAAAAAATCACTGACGGATTTAATATAGACTTAAAACACTTAACGACGCCTTCAAAGATTTCCCAAAGAATTTCAAGGTCACGCCTTTTTTGTTCCCATTGCTGACGCGTTATCTCACTAATTTATTATAACCTTTTTTTTATTTCAAATAATTTATACTAAAATATTCACAAATTTTTTTTTTTTTTTAATTATTTTTCTCTATTATTATTTTTTAACCTTATAAAAAAAAAAAACAAATCGTACATTAGCACTTTAAATTTTAAAAAATTAACTTTGTAAAAAAAAAAAATTCATACATTGGCACTTTGTAATATTTTTATGGTACTAAAGTTAGCCGACATTTTTAATTATTTGATTTTTTTGTTAATAATTAAATTAAAACAGTAAAATATTTTTAAAAAATTTCACCTACAGTTTTTGAGGTTTTTTACAAGTGACATTTTTTAAAAAATTTTTTTGTAATAAATTTTTCAATAAAAAAAAAATTCTAAAAATTTTCAAATGTTGGCTAACTTAATTTTCATAATATTTTTGAATTAAAAAAAATTTTTTTTTTAAAAAATATTTTCCTCTATTATTTTTTAACCTCAAAAAAAAAATTCGCACATTGGCTTGTAATATTTAAAAATTTTTTAAAATTGACATATTCACTTAAAAAAAAAAAAAAAATAATTTTTTTTTAACCTCAAATTAAAAAAAAAAAAAATTCGTACATTGGCACCTTGTGGTATTTTTGAATGAAGGACCGCTGAATTGAATCTAAAAATAACTGCGCACATATATGATAATAATAACAACAATAATGTGTTGAAAATCAAGTACAACACTGTTTAAAAGCACATACTGGTTTTAAACACGCACGAGCACTCACACAAACACTTTGTTGCTGCTGGAGATTGAATTATGGTATTCCTTTTTCACCTTAAATTATTAAAAACATTTTTCAAAACAATTAATTAGATTTTAGGAAGCATTGTTGATAAACAAAATAAAAATAAAGTGTATTTATTTATAAATTTATTAAAAAAAAAATAACGTGACCGGCGAAGCAGCACGGCGCTTACTGTCCTTACTGCCCCGGTCGCGTTCTTTAGTCGCGACGTTACCTCGGTTTCTCGCGTTGGCTGATGACGAAATAAAACGGAGTCAGCCGGAAAATCCCGAGTGTAATACTATTACTGTCTGATTACGCGCGTGCGAGTCACCGTCAATTATCTCTATCTATATATCTTTTCTTGTTTCTTTCTTTATCTAATTATCCGTTACACGGTGCGTCCTCTTCTGGCGAACTACTCACACATTTAATATTACACGCATTGTATAAATTGTATGAATGTATATATATAACCCTAACTCAATCTGGCGCCAAGACCTAGACTTACCTCTACTTAATCTATTAACTGCTTCTGTCTATTAAATTGATCTCGCGGCATCCAATTATTGGAATGAGAATTATTGGACAGATCTACCTCCCACCAGGGTCCACGTGCAGACTTTTTATGATACACATGGAGATTCACGCCATGGAAAATTACAGGAGCTGAAAATTGAAAATTTTGGTTTTTTTTTTATAGGGGAAATTTATTTAATTAGTATTAATATGATTTATTATTACCGTAGCGCCTCGTGTGTAAAGATGGATACAGATAATTTACATACTTATACTCATGTACTTTACTCTCAAGTTTTAAGAGTTAAGTGTCCTATATATTGATGGTTAACTGTAGAGTATTACTTACACGGAAACTTGATTATTCTTACTACTGTTTTACAAACTGTAAGTTTTATCATTATTATTATTAGGTTTTTAGTTAAAATTTGACATATTTAACATATATAAAATTTTTAATTACAATTTAGTATTATTATTTAATTTGTCCTAATTTTTAAAAATAAATTATATCAAGTTTTCATTTAAAATATTATTATTATTGTTATTAGGTTTTTAGTTAAAATTTGACATATTAAACAATAATAAAATTTTTAGTTACAATTTAGTATTATAATTTAATTTGTCCAAATTTTTAGAAATAAATTATCTCAAGTTTTTATTTTAAATATTATAATAATAATAATAATAATAATTTTTTTTATTATTATTATTATTAATCTTTTAGTTAAAATTTGACATATTGAATAATAATAATAATAATTTAATATTATTATTTGACCTGTTCAAATTTTTATAATAAATTATATCAATTTTTTGTTAAAATTATTATTATTATTATTATTATTATTGTTATTAAGCTACTAAATAAAAATTTGACTTATTAAAAAATAATAAAATTTTTATAATAAATTATATCAAGTTTTTTATTAAAAATATTATTATTATAAAATATTAAATTATTTTTAATAATAATCCATAATAATAATTGCAAATAAAATTTTTTTAATTGAAATTTATTATTGTTAAACCTGTCAAATTTTTTATAATAATAATAACAATAACAATAACAAGTTTTAACTAAAAAATTTTTTTTATTATTATTAAAATTTTTTAATATTATTATTATAAAATTTGTAGTTTGCATTCATTATTATTATTATTATTATTATTATTATTATTATTATTATTTAACCTGTCAAATTTTTTATAACAATTAATATTATTAAAAAATTTTGTTATTATTAAATGTTGAATTTTATGTATTAAAAATAGTATTTAAAAATTAGTTGTAATTAATATCTATTATTATACCTGTCAAATTTTTTATAACAATTAATTTCAACTAAAAAAATTAATTGTTATTGTTTTTATTAAAAATAAAAATTAATTTTCAATTTTATTTAAATGATTACTCACCAGACGGCGCCACTATCCAGATGAACTATGTATTTAAACTATGTGTCGCGTTAGTGTTTAAAGTAAAAATCATAAAAAAAAATAATAATAAAAATGGCTGCCCAAAACTCAAGTTTATCAAATGATTTTCCTGAAAAGAAAGAAGATGAATTTAATGATTTTTATACTGAGGTAAGTTAAAAATTTAATTAATTCAAAATTAATTTATTAAATGTATATTTATATTTCTACAAGGATTATTTTAAAGAAATAAAAATAATAATGACAAGTAACCTCAAAAATTAGGTACAATAATAAAATAAATATTGTTTTAATTTTACAGGTAAAAGAAATTGAAAAACGTGACAGTGTATTGACGCCAAAACAACAAATTGATAGATTACTACGTCCTGGTTCTTCGTATTTTAATTTAAATCCTTTTGAGGTTTTACAAATAGACCCAGACACGGTTATTGATGAAATTAAGAAAAAATATCGTCGTGTGGGTATAATATTATTATTGATTGTTTATGGTTGTGTTTATGTATATATTAATACTAAATTTTATTTTTATTTACTAGATGTCAATATTGGTGCATCCGGACAAAAATCAGGATGATGCTGATCGAGCGCAGCAAGCGTTTGAAAGTAAGACTTTTTTTTTTAGAATTTTTCGCTGTAAGTTTGTTTTATTTATTTAATTATTTGTTGACAGTTGTTAATAAAGCGTGGAAGACACTTGAGAATGAAGAAACTAGAGCTAAATGTATGGATGTTATTGAAGAGGCTAAAGCGCGTACTGATCACATGGTAATATTTTTTTAAATTACTTTTGTTAAATTGTATTTTCTTAACTATTGACGTTTTTAAAGATATAAGCTCAGCTTGATGTTACACTCATCAAGAGCTTTCATTTGAGTACCCACATGCATTTTTTATATATTTTTCATATATACATATATATGATATATATAAATATATAAAATATATGAAAAATTGATGTGGGTACTCAAATGAAAGGTCTCGAGAAGTATAATGTAAGGGTGAGCTTATATCTTTAAAAATGTCAATAATTTAGAAACTATATTGTATTTTGTAAACTATTGATATTTTTAAAGATATAAGCTCATCATGATGTTACACTTCTCGAGACCTTTCATTTGAGTACCCACATCAATTTTTAATATATTTCATATATTTCACAAATATCATATATAT